CCCTTCATCCTGTTGTAAGCCTGAGCTACTATGCAAAAGGAGTGCAAAAGAAACGCAAAATTCATATTCCCCCAAAAAGAACTGGCATGACCATCCTACCCCACTGCCACAGATCACAGAGGGTACCAAATTATTCTCTTTGCTCCTAATGAAGCTCCTGTTACATCCAGTAACTCTGGAAGAAAGATAATTTGGGACTCCCTGACCCACCTTTCTCCCCAAGGAAGACTTCTTGTCATTGAGAGCAACTTTCTCATCTACTCCAATTATACTTTCTGTTTTTGTATTTCCCAGTGGTCTTGAAAGGTTAAAGCATATTTCTAGGAATTTTTAGAGCTGTCTGTTCAAGTACTCTCAGACGGGTAAGGATTCCAGTAATCTTTTGACTTCTGACTTGATAAGATGATTTAACAAGGTCCATCTACTGTGTATCTGCTTTTTAAGAATATGGCTAAGGAACAGTGCAAGAACAGAGCAAGTATATATACCACAGTACTTCACACTGGCATAGCTCTAGTGTTGCAATGATTGAGACAGTCAGGGAAAGGCATTGACTCTGCTCTGAGCTGAATTTATTACCTATGTTGGGCAAGACCTGGTTGCCTGAGGGTCTGAGGACCTCAGGCTTCCCACCATAGAAAACCAGATCTTGGGCATCTCCCTGGTCACAATGAAACATGAAACACATGGTGAACTGCCATAGAAATTTTCTCTCTGAAATGGAGCTATTTTACTTTAACATGCCCATAAGGACAGGCAATCTTGCACAGCAGGTGGCTGAAATGTCCCTTTGAATTTAGGAAATAAAAACATGTTTACAGGCTTAAATATTCCGTCTGCCTGTCCTGAAGAAAGGCTGCAGATACCCCATAGAAAGACGCATATATGCTTATGTAATACATTCAGATTTTAAATGAGTAGTATTTCAGCTCTTCTTATGTTCCCAGCATTTCCTGGTGAATAATTGCAATAGCTGCATGCTGTTTGGGGTTCTCTCTGAGCAACTCTGGCCACTTTTTGCTTGTGGGGTTACACCCAGGCCTGAGATGCTGAATTCCTCTCAGTACCAAGCAGTGCTGACCCTAGGCAGGCATCCTTAACTAGTTTTTAAATAACCAGACTGTCAATCAATATTTCTGAGATGTTTACTTACTGGGCAGCCTACAGCAACTCTCCAGTAGTTGTTGCTCCCACCAATGTATCTGGGACACTCCAGAGTCCTGAAAATAGAAATCAGCTGAACAATTTGTCAGCATGCGTATCCCAGAGAAGTTCAGTGTAGGGGTGGGGAGTGATGGGGAGGAGACATATTATTCTTTTGTTATTTTCCTAAGGTACCTTCTTCAGCTATACCAGTTAAGTGAAGAGCTGGAAAGTCCTGGCTTGTCTTTAAAGCACAAGACTTTGGGAAAGTGACCTAAATCAGGGCATATATTCTACAAACCAGACATCTCGCTAAATGTATGGACATGTAACTTTAACTGCTCATTGTTAATTTTGATCTTTTTTGGATGTGTACTAGGTCCATAGTAGACACGAATCTTTGAATATAGTTGAAGAATTAAGATTTTGATTAAGCGAACACCATGGGAACTAAGTCACCATCCTTTTGGAGATGTATCTTTTTTTGTTTGGACTGCCTTGGGCTCAGGCTCTAAACTCTCAGATGCAGCACCACTGGGATTTCAAAACATCAGATACAGCTCTCAGCAGCTTATTAGCTGTGGGATGGCGCCAGCACTTAGACTGAGGCCTGCTGGCACAAAATAGGATTTAGCAGTTTGGTGAAACCTTGAGGGTTTTAAGGATGTCAGTGGTATTTGAAAAATGGCATAGGGGGGAAAACTGGAATATTTGTCACTTACTGACTTTAGCTCAGATGCTCTGCTGTGTTAAGATGCAGTCTGATGTAGTAGAGAAGGAGCATAACAGAAAAGTGCACTAAAGCTCATTGCCTTCAGGACATAGCTATTCTTTTCTGAACACCAGAACAAGTTAGAGTAGTTTCTCGGTTGCTGCCATGGAGCTAGCCAGAGAGGAAGAGATATGGTGCATAACCCTCACCTCTGTCCCCACAATGTAAACCACAGTCTCAGATGAATTATGCCAATATCTTATTCATCAAAAGCACCTTTAGATGATGGACAGCCATTTTCAGAAGGTATCTTATTTCTTGACACAGACCAAATGCTGCAACGATGAAAGCAGCTAAGAAACTGGCTGTTCAAACACATTAGGAATAGTTGTCCTTGGCAAGGTCAAAGAGTACATCACTGCCTGATGTACCAAGGCTGCAGATGCTGCTTCTACAAGAATGCCATGGTACAGTAAGTAACATGCATAGAAGAGAGTGGCTCGAAAGAGTTTGCAAATTATATTGAGGGGAAATGGACCAGCAGCCTGGATGCCACTTACCTCCCTGGAGCTCTGATAAAACAAGGGTATCAGTGATCTGACTGAATGAAAATGGTGGTCTCCCTAGCAAAAGTTTTGAGTAGATGTGAGCTAACTCATATCTATCTATCAGAGGGGCCACCTTTCCACACAGAGTCCTTCCAGGATAATGGACTCTTTTCCTTTTTGTGATCTGTTTGGTCCCATCATATATTTGACCAGAATACAAATATTGGGAAATCAGGTATTTGAACAAAGGTTCTTTGTGAGAGTTATCTAAGGAGAAGGGTCTAAACCCATGCCCTTAATGGTCTCAACTCCTGCCTATAGCCTGAGGAATTAGAATACTACTTTTGCGAGTAAATTGACTACCAAATTTCTTACCAAAGTGCCAAAGACAGCACATCATGGTCAGTATGTAAAGAATAGGATAAGGTGAAAAAAATAAAAAGCCTTTATAGGTCAATTTTAACAACATTTTCTAAAGCAGCCATGGACTGGGAATGATCCCTAAAATTGACCTTCCATGGAAAGAGAGTTAATCTCAAAATCAGTGTGAAGACTGAGGGCTTTTTATGACCTGGAATACAGGTGTATCTTGAACACCTTTTTGTGTGTAACCAGATGTCTACAGTCATGGTAAGTCTTGCAAAAAAAAAAAAAAAATTTTTTTTGAAAGCAGCAGTCACAACTGGAACAGGTCTTCCCTGTAACTGAATTGATCCCATCAGAATGTCATTAAGACTGGAACATAACTGAATAGCTTCTTGAAAACTGTAGAAAAACGAAGTAGAGGGCATAAGGGTCAGAGTATCACAATTCGGAGTCAATAAACTGTGAGGATCCTTTCTTTAGCTGTAATTTTAAACAGCATTTCTCTTTGGCTTTCCACAAGCTTATAAAGTATAGGAAAACCACTACCAGAAGTTCAAATTTTTTAATAACAGAATTAATTCAAGGACAGTGAACACTCTTACAAGCCTCTTAACTTTCTACTTGAAGGTAAATGACTAAAGTGTGCACCCTGTTCATAAGACAAACTCATTTACCTTCTCATTCCTGAAGCACAATACAATGTAACTCCTCTACAGAAACTTCGCTTGTTTTTTCTTATTCAAGCATTTATTAGAAGGAGTTACTCCAGAGTAACACCATTTGCTAAAGTGTGGAGTGATTATTGAGTAACAGCACCTCTCTTCCTCTGCTCATCACAGGCAACAAGGGATCTTTAGAAAGCCTGGTATCACATATATAGATCATTACAGTGTTAATACAGGGAAATCTGTCAGAAAACCACCACAGCAATATGCTTTTCCAGATCAAAATAATGTTTTTTTGCCCTGGTGTGGGAGATAAATAGACAAAACAAGGTATATGTGTAAATTCCCTGAGGGAATCGTGAACTGTTTCATGAACACTGTCTGACACAGCACATGCTACAGATCACATTGTGAAGGAAAAGATGTTTAGTGCTCTGCATCCGTCTTTTTTACCCTAACAAATAGGAACTACATCCAGCTTAGGGCAAATTTTGTCCCATCAGTACTATCTGAGGTCTACACCTTTGCAAAGGCACCCATAACTCACCCTTTTACTGCCTTCTTTGTAACTCTGGACATCAACAGCCTCTGAATAAAGCCATCAAATTTCCTAGCAACAGCCCAGACACATGATCTAATACCATTAAACTGCTTAGCTGACAATAATGCCTCGAATTAAATGAACATCAGTAGAACTCCCTGCTGGCAATGACTAACTACTTCAAGTTACCTTAACAAAACTGGGTCAAGGGACATAGCTTGTTGTAGTTAACTTGCAGCAAATAGTAAGTTGACCAGCTCAATGCAACATTACCACAATCATCTAAATCTGGAGGGTGAGAAAATTTCTGGGAACTAAATTTGACCACATAGTAAGCTGTCAAAGGCAATGAAAAAATTGCCTATCTGTAACAACTTCATCTTGAAGCTTTGGCTATTTCAGCAGTAGCTTGCTTCCTATTGTATCATAATCTATCCTATGACCCATTTTAATTAGTGGCCCCAAACAGATAGTGTTCAAAAAATAACCAGCGAAGTGCTTCATACTAGCTTTCAGAAGTTTTCTATTTTAACACACTGCAGGTGCTGCTGCAGTATCTGCTTCCAGCCACAGATCTGTGTTCAAACAAACTGACAAGGTACATTGAGAACCATCCAGCTACTTGCTAGATCCATTTCTTTTCACCACTGCCACTCTCAGGTCAGTTAAGTAGCTAATCTCTCTCCACTGCCTTTTCCTGTTGGTCTCCACAGACTATAGTTCTTCTTAGCTGGCCTAAAAAAACACTCTGCAGGCAGAAAGCTATGACAAAGTATTTAGCCAAAGGTTCTCTTTCCTCCCTGTGTATCTGCAGAGGCTTCTTTGTTTGTTGTAACTGCTTTTTTCCCTAGTGCACTGGCCATATGGCAGATGTCTGTAGTGCATAAAGTGTCAGGCACTCCACAAAAAAAAGGCATTCTCATTTTAAGGTTGTCAAACATATTTGCAATGACTCCTCATAGTGAGGTTTGCAACATCCTTTAACAGGTGGAAACAGCAGTGAGTTTGCATAAACAGAGGTAGATCAACAAGCACAAGCAGGCCTGTGGGATAAACCCAAATAAACTATGGTAGGGCTTTGGCATGACCCATTTGAAGAATGACAGAATACAGGTTCCCTATGAGACAGCCAGCTGTGTATAAATTGTAAGATATTATATAATAATAAAAGGGCATTCAAATAAACTTGGTTCCAAAATACCCTGCATGCATTATAAATGTCTGATAGATGAAAGCTATTCAACAACTGCAAGTAATACAACTCCCTTACCTACAGCCCTACAGTGTGCTGTTGTCAGAGTACTACCGTCTACATGAGGAAACATTTGCAGTGGTTTGCCCTATTTTTAAAATATGTGATATTCTTTTGTTGTTGGTTGGTTTGTTGTTTTTTTTTTTTACTTATCTCTTATCTTTTGGTAGTCAATTTTCCTTGAGTTTATTTGTTATCAATACAAGTGCATACAGCTGTATTTGAATAACATCTGAAAGGCATGTCTGTCAGTGCCTGAAAAGGAGAATCAAATACGGTCTGAAAAGGCAAAATCATTGGCACTGCCAAGGCTTTGATGGTACAAGCTTTAATTTTCAACTCATAGTGGCAGACTAAACTGACAGTATCAGAGCACTTCACAGATTTGTTTTTAAGGGGCGCTGGGGGAGGGGAGGTTGCACTGCGAGGAGAAGGTTGGAGCTAAATGAAGTTTAAAAGTAGAATGCACATCTATCACCAAACTTTTAAAATAATGGAATGTAAGTGCCTTTGAAATCATATAGAATAACAGAAGGTCTTTTAAGGGTGAGTTCCTAGTAAGAGTTGGAGAAGATTTCTGTTGTCACTTTCAATACAAATTTCTTATTACTACTGTGGGAGGCTGTTAAGTGTGAGCCACTCTCTCTTCTGTATGTACCCAGGATAAGTCAGGGGACACTCACTGAACTGCACAGCCCTTAGATTTCCAAAGCCTATTTCCTCAGCTGTAAAACTGAATTACAGTACCTGTTCGTTCTTCTGTAGAGCCTTCCAGACAAGGTGTAATGACTGTGCCTGGCACTGCATGGAAAACCAAACTTACATCTTGACACAAAAAGTCTTCAGCTGGCACACAGCATGGGCTGGATGTTATAACTTTCTACCAACTCAAGCTGTCATTTTCCATGTGAGAGCATTCCCCCTCCAGTCTTCAGGCATCTACCTCTTTATACAACTGCTTCCAGGGGGATTGCATGCTACAGCTGGAAAACTCGTTGCTGAAATTTTCCAGTGTTTCAGAGGGCTTCTTTCTGCCTAAAATGGGTGTTGCAGTTAGAAGTGAGAACTTCTGAAGACAACAAATAATTTTAAACACAGTCATCAGATTATGCTCCTTGCCAGGAGGTAATGCCTTTCTGATCTGTAATTTCCTTTTCCAGTAGGACTGTCAGTGGAATGATACACTCATTACCTCATTGCATGAGTTTGCTTATCTAAAAGCAACTTAAAAATGTTCCAGCAACTGAGTAAATCTAAAAGTGAAACTTTAAATGCTTTAAATGTGGGATATGGCACTATACCAAGCACTTATTAAACAGACAAGTATAAAGAGTTGTGAAAATATGGTTTTTACTGATTTTCCAGACCAAAAGTTCTGGAAATGATCCATACACTGTTATAGGTTATAATGAATATGACATCAGAAGCAAAGTGGTGGTTAGAGAAACATTGCTCATTTATTTGTTAATTTTATTATCTTTACCGGATGTATAGAATTTCTATAGTATTTCCCTCTCCCCATTACAGAATGTCAGATTGAAACTAAGTTTTTTATTTTTCTCTAAATACAAATTTGGTGACCATTGCAATACTGACCCAAACCCTTTCTCTTGTTATTGCCTCTGAGGAAAGCCCAAGTAAGTAGAATTAGGTACAGTGCATTTCAAGAATTTAAAGTGAATGAAGTCATGGTGACATGGTTTAGTGTGAGGTGTTCCTGCCCATGGCAGGGGGGTTGAAACTAGATGATCTTAAGGTCCTTTCCAACCCTAACTATTCTATGATACTATGCCTAAAGTGTGTTATAGAAAGCACTGAAACATCACTCTGTTGCCAGTGCTACAGATCATAAGCCTTTATTTTTATAGTTGTGCATAAGGGAAGCCAGTTACGCAAGAATGTGTATTACTGTGGGCTGATCTCCACCTGTACCTTTCCTTGACACCCTCCCAAAAGATTTCTGTCCTTGACCAGGGAGTCTGGTATTATCTGAACAAGCACAAGTGTTTGAAAAGTCATAAATAGATAGGTAAGTAACCATAAAATAGAGATTTTGAAACAATTGCTCAAATGTAAACTACTTTGTTTTACAGCTTCAGTTGCTGGAATATATCTCACCTCATTTGTCTTACAACAATGCTAAACAGCTGTAGCTAGTGCAGATCAGCTTCATATTTTGTTGCCTTAACCTTACTGCTTAATTTAATAATACGAGTTTGATTTATTTTGGGGTTTTGGGTATCGTGTGTTTTGTTGTTCGGTGGGTGTCATGGTTTAAACTCAGTCAGACAGCTCGTTCACTCACTTACCCCCTTCTTGCTCTCCCCCTACTCCCGGAGGGATAGAGAGGAAAATCAAAAGAATGCAACTCCCCTGGGTTGAGATAAGAACAGTTTAGTAACTAAGGTATAACACAAATCACTACTGCTACCACCAATGATAATAATGATAAAGGAAATAACAAGGGAAGAGAATACAACACCTCACTACCCGCCGACCAATAACTCGCCCCCCCCCAGCCCGACCAAGCACCGACCGATACCTCCTTCAACCCTGCTGTGAACTAGCTCTTCTGGGTAACTCTCAGTTACATCCTGGGCATGATGTGCTGTGGTATGGAATACCTCTTTGGTCAGTTTGGGTCAGGTGTCCTGTCTCTGCTTCCTCCTGGCTTCTCTCCTCCCTGGCAGAACATGAGGCTCAGAAAGTCCTTGGTCAGACGAAAACATCATTGTTATCAGCTCTGTTCCCAGGCTGAAAGTCAAAACACAGCACTGCACCAGCTACTAAGAAGGAGAAAAATGACTGCTACTGCTGAGCCCAGGACAGTGGGTTATTTTGTTTGGTTTGGTTTGGTTTGGTTTAGTTTAGCTTTTTGCTTTTTTTTTCCTCTACTGGAGCATTAGGGTTTTTTGCAATTAACAATTTTTTAGAGTGTAACATTTCCAAGTCACTTCTTCTCCTAGGATTGTATCTTCAAAAAGAAATCATATGAAGATAAGGTGCCAAATGATCATATGGTCAATAATGTACACATCATTGTACCATAGGCTTATATGCTTATGGTTTCTGGGTTTCTGGGTTTTAAATTTTGTTAATACTGATTAAGATTCCTATGTGACATGAGTAGACTGTAGTTATAGAGACACCTTTTTTAATGTAAGATGTCTGGAAAGGTTCTCTAAGATGTCAAGATTCAATTTGCTTGTGTCTTTCTATAGACGCTAAACAGATATATCTTTTTTATTGCCTATATAATAATTCTCATCCTTCCTTACATTATCGTATAAAATCCCACTGTCTTCCCTTTACCATGGGATTTTCAAAATAACATGGCTTTGGCACTGGACTCGTATAATTTTTGTCAGTTCGACTGATTATGAAACTGCAATCCAAATAGGCTTAATAGCTCCCTAAATAAGTATTTAAATATGAATTCTGATGAAGACTTACAGATTACCGTAATCAGTAGAAGTTGAAAAACTAAGCACTCCCTTTGTAATCTACAAGGAAACTTTGGTCTGAACATACGTTTGTAAATGTCCACATACATGAAATGTCATTTTTTGTCATGAAAATGCATAAGCAAGGAATAGCAAGCAATAGACAAGACCAGCTTGTCAGGAGATTCACAGTCAAACTGACAAAGCTGTACTGAAACCACTGAAGAATTAGAGAGTGATTTTTATCTGCATGATAAAAATAATGGATTTTATTTTTGTTGTTAACCTTGATCTAAACGTATTCTTTAAATGAAAACCTGCTTAATTCTTTAGTAGTATATAATAATTTTGTATATATGCCAATGTTTAAATAAGATAGTACCGTGAAATAATTTTCAAATCAGCATGTCTTTTGAAAAGTTTTTTTCTTCTGATTTCCTTGAAATCACAAGTGACTATTTAAATTCTTGTTAGTTTAGAGTCACCCATTCATTCTTTTCTCTCTTTAATTTGAATATATTGCAATTCAAAGGCTTTTCTTTGACGCTTCCCATCTAAAATAATTCTCAAGTGCAGCACTGGCTTCTACATTGGCTATGTGAAGTATTTTGCCTGGACACTAGTTGATCAAAAATCCATAGAAGCAGGAAAATTGTTTTTCAACCTACATCGACTAAGGGAGGCTAGAAATCAGCAATGTTTCTACACTGTATGTTATATTCCCACCTAGTGAGGAAACATCTACCTTACGCGTATCTTCTATGTGGCGGTTAATGATGTGCGTATAATCTACTATTCAGCATAGGTCCCATTCAGAAATCTAGACTCACACAGGAAGTGCCTACATTGTTCTCCCTGACTGCACTCACAGCTCTGTGACTGAAGTTATTGCAGGACAAATTTTATTTATATTTTATGATATTAGAACATAACCAAAGTGTACTAAAGTTTGGATCAGGATGAAACTTTCTGCCCTAATATTACTGAACAATTTTAATTTCAAGGTACTGCTACATAGCAATGCAAGAAGAAAATAAATTTCTGACTATTTTCTTTACTTAATAGTAATTTATAGACCTTACTTTTCTTGTCTAACAAGCTGTACTTCTCAAATAAAATTTTATGCCTTACGTATCTTACTAATGAGCCATTAGAAAGACTATAAAACATAGAGTTCCACTTGCATGACAGTAAAACACTTTCTTAGTATCCCTCTCATTACATTTTTTCCAAAATAATTTTTGCAAGTGCTATGTACTTCTTCAGAAATATTAAAATAATAAATGTAAGCTAATCTCAAAGCTAATAACTTTTTTTTAAGAAACAGAAATCCCATAATAATCAAGTAAATAAGAAAAAAGGAGCTATTTTGTGCTCTCTATGTGGCAGAGGTTCTTTGGAGAATATCTGATACCTTGCTAGGTATGCTGTTAATTAATAGTAGGTGCAATTGGTAAAGCAGATCACAGCAGAATGGATATGCACTCAACAAAAACCACTTCATTGGTGATTTTCTTTTTGGGCTGAGATCAAATATAGTGCTTCACAAGAATATTAAAGGAATCAGAGCTATTAGGCTCTAGACTAGGAGCTATAAAGCAACAGCAAAGATAGATAAAAAAATAAATTAAACACATCTCCCAGTTCAAAATACATGGCCATAGCCCTAGCCCAACAAGGAAGAGACAGAAAAATTTGCAGGATGAGTAGGCAGCTTTGCAATGAACATGCATTCTAATTGTGTACACCAGCACATGAAGACTACTGGGAAGGGATATCTAATGGACATAACATTTTATTTAAAATGAAATCTCAAGTGAAATCAAAAATCTCACTAGAAAAGACCCCTAGGGTTTAAGACATGACACTACAGTACATGCAAGATACATGGATGAAAGTTATTGGCATAATTACCTTAAAAATGGACAAAATTGTAATCCTGTACAATATAGTACTAGCAAAAGCCTGGCATCAGCACTCCTGAATAGAGGAAAATGGAAGGAGGGAGCCTGTAGCTACAGAGGTGGAGAGTTTTGTTTGTTTGCTTTCCTTTTTTCTTTTTCAAACAAGAAGCCAAGATTAGTCAAAATAAACATTTATTGTCATTGCTACACAACACCAAATCAGCATTGCTGTATCCAAGAATAAAGTAATTACAAATAACAGAAATATAAGGTCAATTAATACTTGAATTCAAGCTACTTTTCATTACATTTTGCAAACCCTTAAAAGAAGCAGATCAAGATCCTGAATTTTCACACAAGACAAGCAGACAAGTACATAAGTAAAAAGTCTGTGCATCATCAAGAGATTTCAGAGACAGTGCTAAAGATGAGCCCTTTTTAAGCAACTCGGACCCACTATGTCACAAACAGTATATGCCCCTACCTGCTACTATCAGTTAAGAGAGGGAGCTTTCTATCAAAATGAGATTTTGTTTAAAGACGTCAGATAGTAATTCCACAGCTTGATATGAAAGAAATATGGTTTTTAGTGTACATGAAAATCATCACGGACCTGAAAAAAAAAAAATCAAATAACTAAATTATTTTTTTCTGGCTTCAAACTGATAGAGAAACTGAGAAATAAAAATGGCCAAAAGTAAGCCAAGGCAAGCAGAATAGCTGATATTGCCAACAATGTAAAAAATATCCCTTGGAAGAAGCAGAGGTTCTTGCTGTCAGAAAAAAATAACTGTTAACTTCCCTGAGACAGTCTTAGTAAAGCACAAGAAAAGAGGAGATTATGTATGACAGCTGTTTTTTTAGATGAATTATCTGTTATGGAAATAGCTCAGAGATGCTCACATTTCAACAAAATACAGGTGAAATACTGTCTTCTGTTATTCCTATGAAATATGTCTTAATGGAAAACAGCGGGAAAGTAGAATTTCCAATCAAAATGATGCAGTCCGGCTCTAATGCCTCCTTAGTTTTGTTAAAAAGTGGAACTCCACTCTTGAAACATAGCTTCTCACTACTGAATTTTTAAAACCAGCATTAGAAATTAACATCAGGGTAGCCTGGGACTTGCTGGCATGTACAGGCAAAGAAGGTGAACCAATAAACTTAGAATGTGAAGTTCCAGGAATTACCAACACTTTGTGAAAACAAGGATGTGTCCATCTCTGATGGGAAACAGCTGTCACTAACAGCAGAAACAGGTGGTAGCCAGACATATATGGGCACAGATAAGTGACATCTACAAATCCCAGCAGGCAGAGAATTAAGGTGTAGAGATGTTTGTTCAAGAAATCCTCCACAGAGGCAACGATAACATCAGGCTGTACTAGTGAAGTCACAGAACACATCATGGCTAAAAATAGAGATCAAACCGAGCTAAACAATGTATTGAGATCTACAGAGTATTTCATGAATAGCACTTCAGCCTTGCTTACTGGTTCTAAGTCTGAAATTTATTATATACTGTTGATGATTACTAGCTGTTACATTTGGCTAGGGAGGAGAGAGATGAAGAATTGTGATTTTTAAGAGCATGCATCCTGAGCCAAATTGTTTATCATTAACAACAAAAGATGTTGATCAGCAAGACAGCTAATGAGCCAGGCATATTTTAGATTCCCAGATTTAGAGCAGCTTCTCACACTAAGACAACCTCTATATTGCAGAGACATGACTTTCCCAAATTTTTTCTTTTCCAGACAAACATGGGTGGTTTTGGTACCATTACAGGGGAATCAGAAGGACTCCCATCTCCTCAGCTTCACTGCTTTCAAAGTTTAAAGAATGTTGGAGGGTTGGGGAGAGGAGAAGAAAGTGGGGAAGGGGCTCCTCTTTGTCTTGAGTGCAATGACAATGCACTTGCCAAAAGCTGAACAACAGATACCTCTCATAGTGTCAATAGCTAGAAGTGTCTGGGAACACTGTAATTAGTTCATTCAAATTTACCTCACAGACTCATAAATTTTAAAAACATATGAAATACTAAACACAATCAGAGAAGCCTATGACTGAGAATTTGTAGTCTACTTTGTGAACCTCCTAGTAGATGAGTGTGTGTTGGAGGAGATGAAGACCACAGTATTTTGCACAAGAGCTCTTGATATAAGCAAGGGGGGGGGGGGGGGGGGAATGAGGGGAGTGTCTGTTCATTAGAATAGTTTTCCTTTCCATATTTTATTTTATTCTATTTCCAGGTCTGATACATGGATGAGTAGTAATTCAGGACCCAGAACCAGTACATTTCACCAGGAGGAGTTCCCTGATGCTAGGAAAGTTTTCTCCTGGCAATTTGCAGCTAGTTTACACTTACACTATCTTGATATGTTTATACTTCTTTTTCTATGATTTACAAGTATTTCTGTTCCACAAATCTCTGTGTCTGCATAGGTGCTGACTTACTAAAGATAGCTTATGTATCCAAGATGCCGACAAGAATGTTGTTTTCTTCACACAATTTAGTTCTTCAGATTATATATTCTGATACATAGTGATATTAGGCAACAAAACCAAAAATAGACTCATAAATATTAAAACATGCAAATTATATATTTTCAATAAAACGTCCTCATTTGACTTTACAATGTATATCCAGCTTTGCTTTTTAGGAAGACAGAAAGGTTCTTTAGACAATATACTGTTTCCCGCTGAGCTGCGGGATGCTGTTAATAGGCTGCGAGATGTCAGGGAAGCTGAGAATAAGCAGGACCGCTTGCTCCTGGCCCAAACTGTGCAGGGGCCTCGAGCTTCACCTCTACCTCATGAAGGAAAGAAGGAGGCTGTTAACCTGGGAAGCTGGGAATTAACGACAAAAAAAAAAAACAACAAAAAAGGAAGGAAAAGGACAACCAAAAGCAAGGAGCTTTCCCCTAAATCCCCTGTCCCCACGCAGAACCGCTTTGCTGTCCTGCAGGGGGATAATGAGGAAACGCACTCGAGCCAGAAACAGCCGGCTGATGCACTGGTAAAGAAGATCTCTACAGGTGCTGCTAGGAAAAAGCGGCGGGTCGTAGTAGTATGGGACTCTACACTGAAAGGGACAGAAGCACTCGTCTGCCGGCCAGACCCCGTCTCAAGGGAGGTGTGTTGCCTACCGGGGGCACGGATCAGGGATGTGGCAGAGAGGCTGCCTGCTCTAGTAAGTCCCACGGACTATTACCCACTCCTGGTGATACATATGGGTGCTAGGGATATAGATAGTAGCAGCCTGGGGAACATAACGGAGTACAGAGCCCTGGGGGAGGTGGTTAGGGGCTCTGGAGTTCAGGTGGTCTTTTCATCAATTCTCCAGGGTACAGGGGAGGACCTAAAAAAAGGTAGGAGGATTAACCAGGTTAATAACTGGTTAAAAGGGTGGTGTCATTCCACCCCAACACACCCACTCAGTTGCCAGGACCTATAATGAGTGCTTGAAGCAATGTAGAGATATCCCAGCCGCTCCAGCCAATGAGCCGGCTTCAGTTGGATCTCGGCTCAGATGCCTCTATACAAATGCCCGTAGCATGGGGAACAAACAAGAGGAATTAGAGATGTGTGCACGTCTACGGGGGTATGATATAACAGGCATCACAGAAACATGGTGGGATGGCTCCTATGACTGGAGTGTTGGAATGGAAGGTTACAGGCTTTTTAGGAAGGACAGGCCTGGCAGGCGGGGAGGGGGAGTTGCCCTTTATGTTAGGGATAGGCTGGAGAGTATGGAACTCTGTCTGGGGACAGGTGAGCAGTCCACAGAGAGTTTGTGGGTCAGGGTTAAAGGGAATATAGCTGCAGGAGACATTACTGTGGGGATCTGTTACAGACAGCCTGATCAAGGAGAACCTGCGGATGAAGCACTCCATAGACAGATAGGAAAAGCCTCACGCTCACAGGCCCTTGTTCTCATGGGTGACTTCAACCACCCTGACATCTGTTGGAAGGACGGTACGGCCTGGCACAAGCAATCCAGGAGGTTCCTCGATTGTGTAGAAGACAACTTCCTTCTGCAAGTAATAGGGGAGCCAACAAGGAGAGGTGCCGTGCTTGACCTTGTGCTCACCAACAGGGAAGGGCTCGTTGGGAATGTGACTCTCCAGGACAGGCTTGGTTGCAGCGATCATGAGATGGTCATGTTCGAGATCCTCAGGACAGTGAGAAGAGCGTGCAGCCAGCTCACTGCCTTGGACTTCAAAAGAGCAGACTTTGGCCTCTTCAGGAACCTGCTTCGGAAGGTCCCATGGGATACAGCCCTAGAGGGCAGGGGGGCCCAAGACTGTTGGTTGATATTCAAGGATCACCTGCTGCAAGCTCAGGAGTGTTGCATCCCAACCAGAAGGAAGTGCAGCAGGAGGGCCAGGAGACCTCCTTGGATGGATAAGGAGCTGCTGAGGAAACTTCAAGGGAAAAAAGAGGCTTATAAAAGGTGCAAGCAAGGACAGGTGGCATGGGAAGAGTACAGGGATGTTGTCCAGGAAGCTAGGGACCAGGTTAGGAAGGCTAAGGCCCAGTTAGAATTAAACTGAGCTAGGGGTGTTAAGGATTACAGGAAGGGATTCTACAGGTATGTAGCAAATAAAAAACAGACTAGGGAGAATGTAGGCCCCCTCAGGAAGCTCTCAGGAAAACTGGCTACACAGGATTTGGAGAAGGCTGAGGTTCTGAATGACTTCTTTGCCTCAGTCTTCACTGCAAAGGCTCGGACAACACCACCCAAGACTTGGAAGGCAGATGCAGGGACTGTGAGAATGAAGACCTTCGGCCCACTGTAGGAGAGGAGCTGGTTCGAGACCATCTCAAGAACCTGAACGTGCACAAGTCCATGGGTCCTGATGAAATCCATCTGCAGGTCTTGAAGGAGCTGGCAAATGAAGTTGCGAAGCCGCTGGCCATCATATTTGAAAAATCATGGCAGTCAGGTGAAGTTCCCGACAACTGGAAAAAGGGAAATATAACCCCCATTTTCAAGAAGGGGAAAATGGATGACCCGGGGAATTACAGACTAGTCAGTCTCACCTCTGGGCCTGGCAAAATCTTGGAGCAGATTCTCCTGGATGGCATGCTAAGGCACATGAAAAACAACAAGGTGCTTGGTGACAGCCAGCATGGCTTCACTGAGGGGAAATCCTGCCTGACCAATTTGGTGGCCTTCTATGTTGGGGCTATAGAACTGATGGACAGGGGTAGGGCAGTTGATGTCATCTACCTGGACTTGTGTAAAGCCTTCGACACTGTCCCACACAACATCCTTGTCTCTAAATTGGAGAGACATCAATTTGATAGGTGGATCACTCAGTGGATAAAGACCTGGCTGGATAGCTGCATGCAAAGAGTTGTGGTCAATGGCTCAATGTCCATTTGGAGACCAGTAACGAGTGGTGTCCCTCAGGGATCGGTGTTGGGACTGGTCTTGTTTAACATCTTTGTTGCTGACATGGACAGTGGGATTGAGTGCGCCCTCAGCAATTTTGTCAATGACAGCAAGCTGTGTGGTTCGGTTGATGCACTGGAGGGAAGGAATGCCATCCAGAGGGACCTTGACATACTTCTGAGGTGGGCGAATGCCAACTTTATGAAGTTTAACCATGCCAAGTGCAAGGTCCTACACCTGGGTTGGAGCAATCCCAGGCACAGCTACAGGCTGGGCAGAGAAAAGATTCAGAGCAGCCCTGCAGAGAAGGGCTTGGGGGTTTTGGTTGATGAGAAATGAACATGGGCTGGCAGTGTGCACTTGCAGGCCAGAAAGCCAACTGTATCCTGGGCTGCATCAAAAGGAGCGTGACCAGCAGGTCGAAGGAGGTGATCCTGCCCCTCTACTCTGCTCTTGTGAGACCTCACCTGGAGTATTGTGTGCAGTTCTGGTGTCCTCAACATAAAAAGGACATGGAACTGTTGGAACAAGTCCAGAGGAGGGCCACGAGGATGATCAGGGGACTGGAGCACCTCCCATATGAAGACAGGCTGAGAAAGTTGGGGCTGTTCAGCCTGGAGAAGGGAAGGCTGCGTGGAGACCTCATAGCAGCCTTCCAGTATCTGAAGGGGGCCTATAGGGATGCTGGGGAGGGACTCTTCATTAGGGACTGTAGTGACAGGACAAGGGGTAACAGGTTAAAACTTAAACAGGGGAAGTTTAGATTGGATATAAGAAGGAAATTCTTTCCTGTTAGGGTGGTGAGGCACTGGAATGGGTTGCCCAGGGAGGTTATGAATGCTCCATCCCTGGCAGTGTTCAAGACCAGGTTGGATGAGGCCTTGGGTGATATGATTTAGCATAAGGTGTCCCTGCCCACGGCAGGGGGGTTGGAACTAGATGATCTTAAGGTCCTTTCCAACCCTAATTATTCTATGATTCTATGATTATGAACTATGCAAATCCTAGCCTGTCTTCCTTCTGAGTAGAAAACTACAGATTTCTATTTCCATGTTCCATGCCTAAATCAGCTTTTTCATTTTTATGATTAAATTCATTGCTCATATGAATCATTCTGATAGAAAAGCATCAGTACCCTGAAATTTTCCAAATAGGTATAGAATTAGTGTTTATTGTAGCTTTATATTTCCTAAGCAGAGTGATGTTGGAGTAAAAAAAACCCAACAAACAAACAAACAGAAAACCAAAGGAAAAAAAACTCACTTTATATGCTTTTCTTCTGCAGACAGATCCATCATATGCTGAACTGTATAATACTAGAACAGAGTCATAGGAAGAGAGGAGATAAGGCGTTGCTTAAGAAGCCAAATCAACTTATTACCCTAATATCTGGAATGAAGCAACTTCAAGGAAAAACAAGTCCTTTCAAGAGGTTTGGTTTGGTTTTGTTTCTTTTTTAATTCTGGAGTGAATTTTGTAGTTCTATTTTGAAAATATCTTCTTTGTAAAGCATGTGTATCACCAATGAAGTTAACTATCTCACATATCATTTGTTGCATTTTCTGTTCACTGTAAATAAAACAAGCAAACTGAAGAGTTAGCAAAGAAAAGGGGTAAAAATGAGTGAATGGAAAAAAAACCCTATCTATTTGTATAGATAAATACAATGAGCTAGATCCAATTTTCTCATGTATGATGAAACACACATGCAAATGGGTTTCTCAGCCAAACCCTAGACTGCACAGTGTCTCCAGTAGGTGTTTTGGGCACCCTGATTCCTCCCAAAGCCAACTCACAAACCTCTGCTGTCTACTTGGCTTTCCAAACCATTTGCCCTACTCACTGTCAAGTCTGGCTTGGCTTATGCCAGCGATAACACACAGATGTAGTAGCAGTGTCCACATGGACCAGCCTCCTGGTTGCTTTTATCCTATACACACAGGCGGCCTCTGACCCACAGTCTAAATCCAGTAGCTGGCACTTACACCTTCACACGCAGAAAAGAGAATATTTTGCCTTACCTGGGAAAATAGTCAGAAATGGAGTTTAATGAGAAGACAGGGCAGACAGCGCTGATCAGGTACAGAGCATGGCCAGGCACACATACTGACCAGAAAGCTCTTTACGTGCAGCCAACACTTAGGCCCTTATCCCCCTATTTTTTCATACTTGTCCCTCTCAAAACCAATTTGATTCTTTCATTTCCTTTCTATGGTCCTTCCTTGAGCATCCCCTACTAAGTTTTTTCTAAAATGCTGTTCCCTGCATAGCAGGGTAAGTCCTGTACTGCAGCAGGTAGCACGCTTCTCAAACTGAGAGGTGATGAGGTGACTTTCTGCTGCCAGCCTGGGGCAGTGGGGCTGACACTTTCCTGGGGCAGGGGCTCAGGCGTCTCATGAGGCTGTTGAATCCCCCCACCTGCCAGTGACATGCTGGGCTGCACAGTATGGTTGAAAGTAAGCCTTTAGTCACATACCTGACAGAACTTTCTCTCCCTCGTGAAATGCTGTCATCTAGTCCTAATTACCTAGTAAATACATAGCAGCAATAGTGAATAGCTACTAGCTACCTTATTTTCTACAAAAAGCATTTTTAGTTAAGTTAGAGCTCTGCTTATTAACAACTTCAAAAAAATATACCAGGAGGCACACATTTAATCAAAGTCTGTGAACTTGAATTGCCTTAAGAAGCTATTAGCTCCTTTAAGGGAAATTAAAATATTTGCACCAAGCTAGGGTGAAGCTAAATGAAAAATTCATAGAGTACAGAATGCTTAGAATAAAAGGAACTTTCCTTTGCAGTGACTGAAGGCAGAAGTAAGCTAGTGATCCTTGCTGAAGTTAGCATACATCTAACCTAAAATTTAGCATATGAATTCTATTCTGAGTCCCTCCAGCAGATGGAGGAACTTGCTAAAAATCTTTTCCACTTTAGTGATGGAAAATAGAACACCTTAAGACTCCAGTTTTTAAGAAGCAGTGTTATATTTTCTTAAAAAGTGACAAAGGTAAAGCTGCCCACAGCCTCCATTTCCATGATTTATGATTCCATGATTGCAGCAAATACTGCCAAGAAAGCTCAATGTGTAAGGAATCCTTTAAGCACTTTTTCTTTTTTTCTTTTTTTTTTTTTAGATTATTTTTTTAACTTTTTATATATTGCCTTTAACTTGCTCTTAAGGTTTAGAGGGGAAAAAATATACTATTAATATCAAAATAACTTGCTCTTTCTAATGACAAAAGCTCGGTTTGTCAGTGGATATGAGATTTTTGAAGGCAGTCATTAATTTAAAAATAAAAAATAATTAATTAAATGAAATCAGTTGGTTTAATTTATTTGAATACCCATTTTTACAAGAATCTGTATGCAGTTTATTCTTTCCCTTATACTATGCCAGGAGACATATTTTATTTAAAGGCTTCCATAACTTGCTTAAAAGCAAATGTAAAAAAAAGCCTTAGCAAAAATATTTATAAAAATATAATTAATGTGGTTTTATCATTATTTTTTCTTAAATATGTATCACCTTGTCCTGACCAGCTTGCTCAGAGATTATCTCAAGCTTCTTCCAGCATTTTAAGTGTCTGCATGTAATCTTGTACTATGTATTTCAACTAATACTTGCTTTTAAAAGATTTGGGTTTTTTCACCTTCTACATAAGAAGGAACATGAGTGGATTGGAAGAAAGATGAAAAAGATATTCCAGCTTCATGGTTACAGCATACCTGTATGTGAATTATTCCACATGCCTTCAGTAAAAAAGCAGCCTTCTTCATTTCCCCACAACACCATCTTCTTTACTTTATGAACACCAATATAATAATTTTTTTAAAAATAAAACTCTAAACCATGAAACTGTGTTTGGAAAGGATAGCCTAAAAAAACCCCAGTGTGTCCCAGATATTGCTCTCAGGTTTAATTTTCGACAGACATATATCCTTGCATTTTTCATACAGACGTAGTGGTTATATTCTTTCCCAAAGGCTTCAGTTTTAGTCTAATTAGACAATGGTTTGCTAGCTATTTACCACTCTAAAATATAGGCAAGTTATTCCAAAGAATCATACTGTTCCACAAGCTGCAGGTGTTACTAACACTGTAAACTAGCAAAACAAACAGTATGTTTTTACATGTAATACAGAAAAAATACCCTTTGATCTGTGGTTGTGAAATATGCAATCTAAAATCCATTTTTATTTCCCCAATATCTCTTAATTTTTTAGAGAAAGCTTGGTAGTCTGAGAGATAAAGAAAGACCCATCTCACAGTGAGCTCATAGAATCCTACCCGACAGCTGAAAGTGAGGGTAAGAGTTGGCAGCCCTCAAGTCTTTGAAGTAATAATTGTGAATACAAAATCAAGCTGTATCTTTTTTGTCTGCTCACAGACATTCTGTCAACAGAGAAAAAATCCAAGTGCATCCAATATGTCCATCACCAAGCTGTCTTAATCTGCATAATGCAGGTACTGTCACTAGAAGTCCACAGCAACATCAGTTCCCTGGAACATGATTGTCCTTACTTGTAAGGATATTATGTTTTGATGCAGCAGCCTAAGGGAGAACTTTTACCTAGCTGAAGATCCTGAGGAACCCAGAAGCATGACAGCAATCTCTGAGCTTGAGTGTGTTGCTTCCTTTGATGTTAACCTATTTATACACTTCCATTCTTAAAAGCTGGGAGAAAACACCACTTGTTGTAGCAGGTTAGAATGTCATGCCAGCTATAGAAATAGTATGTCTCCCTCTGCCTCTTCCTCTAGCAGAATCTGGTATTAGCCGGTTCAAAATGTCCAAGAACCTTTGCTGGGGATGTGATAACCAAACTGAATGTTAGCTCCCTAATCCATCTTTGTAGGTACATCTCCAACTTTTTCTACTTTTGCCACACATCTAAAGATTTTTCCAGTGAGAATAGAACACATAGCTTCACTCAGTTTTAGGCAGATTGTATTAAGGCACCAATATGAGATATTTAAACAACAGAATCAGACTTTACAGTTTTTGGTGGGAGCAGTGCCTTGGTCCGTTCTGGTCCCAGTATTACCAAAATGAGACCTAAGATTCAGGTTGTTTTTTTCTGTAAGGACCCTGAAAACCTTATGTCACATACTCTTCAACTTTTCATTCAAGTTATCTCACTGCTCTCACTTCCGCTTATATTATAGCCCTTGTAAGAGTCTTAGGAGTCAGAAACTGTGGTCTCAAAAAACCTCATTTTACATATGGTTGTGGGCATATTACTAATTAGAAGGAGAGGCACAAGAATACTTGAAGCCTTCTGAAGGAAAAAAAAAGTTACAAGATTTAGAATTTTCAAACATTTGAAAAAAGTGTCTGTTAGCCTGCTGGTTGTAAATTAAATCATAAAAACATGAATGAAGAGCATTTTAGAGACAGAGAAACTAGAAAATCAAGTAAATACAGTTGGAGCTTTTTTTTTTTAATTACTGCGTATTCCATTCTTCGATGTAGGGGATTGTCTCTAGGAAGAAAAAACTAACATTTATTTACATTTAGATATTTACATTTAGATTTTAATTCATTACATTCACACTGTACCAGAATCCAAAATCATTATGCAATATGCTTAGTATTAGTGGAGAAGATATGAGCACAGAGGCCAGACGCACAGAAGTCTGACACTTGAAAACTCACTTCTTACACTACACAGCTTAGACAAAATGTAGTCCTCAAAAAAATCAAGCCAGTTCTAGAATAATAAAATCTGCTATTTTTACAAATGAGACTGATCTCAAATCATTGCCACATTGTTGCTCAGTCTAAAGCTGCTTAGTCTTTCCCTTTATTTTGAGGTAATGTTTGTCCTGTTTTTTAACCAGTATCAACATTTTCCACAGGTTTGGTACTCACATCCATCATGCCTGTTGCTAATTTGTGCACCACATATGCACAATTCAGCATTAACCCCATTTACCTTCCTTTGGGAGGTCCAATAACACATTTACACATTTTGTTTGCAAATCCTATAATTTACTAAGGGCTGAAATACAACCAGCCCTGCAATAATAGCTTAAAAAGTCTAAGGAAAAAATGAAATCTCTTTGGATTTCACTGAATATTCTGATCAAAAGCATCTATCTGCTATATTTATTGAAGAAAATTTTGAATTGCTTTGTTGTGGACTGGGACACGGAAGAGAGAAGCAGCTGTTTAAAACACGGAAAAGCACTGAGCTTGGACTTGTCAGCCTCCGCAGAGGAAAAGTCAAGAAGGTGGTAAGAGTAGAAAGAGGAGAGAATCAGGATGGAGATGGATACCAGTCCAGAGCAACTCTTCAGAGTGTGCCTCCAATCCCTGACAGCACGGAGAGCTTTTTTTAAACAGCACATGCTGCAGAATTCCTCCTCCACACTACACACAGACTGTACAATTCATCCAAGCCAACCAGGACAACTGTTAGTTTTCCCATGAATAGAGTCCTTATTTAAAAATCTTTCTGGATGAATTCACTGCATTTTGAAAACCTTATTCTAGCCTAGCAAACGGCACTTTCATAAAGTCCCTTTATAAGTCTTGGCTAAAATTATGTAATAATAATTTTAGATCCAGCAGCTAAAAGGACTAATTTTTATGACGAGGTCAGTAAGAGGGAGAAGATGATGATGTATGGTTTGGTGGCTGCAATCCAGTCCAAACACTCAGCAAAGTAAAGTAAATAGTTCTTGTCTGGTCTGGTCTGCTCTTCCTACCTGCACCTGCTGAAAGACTCATTGAGGTACAGTATATTATTAACATGTTCTGCAGTCAACAGTAGTTATGAGTTTATAAAATATTAGTCTGCTTGTTAAGAAAGAAACTATTTATTCTTCTTGCAGGAGATACTTACGATTCATTTCAATTGTGCAGATAGAACATACATGCTGTCTTAAACAATAAAAAGCTAAAAGTATAGTCTCTAAGTATTATAAGACACAACTACACAGAAATAAATCTCATATTCACATATATTTTCCTCTTAATTGCTATCTAGGCTCCTAAATAGAGCTTTATATTGCCATATTGTACTCCAGGTTCCTAAAGAGAGAAAGAGAGCTTGAGCAAAGAGAAGTAATGCTTTTGCTGATTTTCACTAAGTTCCATGCATACTTAGTCCCACAGCCAGATCATTCAGTTTGTGGTCCTTAAGATAACTTGAGGAAGCTGCCATTTTGAAGCAGTCTTTCCTGAAAGAAAAGCCCCAAATATACAGTTTGGTGTTAAAACTTCATATTCTAAGCACTCAGCAAATAGAACATTGCCATTTCAGCAGCTCCTTCAGGTCAGAACTTTTCTTTTTCTGTCCACAATAATGCTGACTGGCATATCCCAGCACCATGGGAGAAAAAAGATTTCAGTGCATATAGGGCTAAAGTTCCAGAACAGACAGCCATGGTCAGAGACATTTTGCATCCAAAAAAAAAAAAAAAAGATTAGGAGAGTCAGTTTTCTGCTGAAATATTTCTTGGAAAACTCTATTAACAATGTCAAAACACCTTCAGGTATGATTTATTGTGCAATGGAATGAACATAATCCAGCTCTTGCAGTAGTCTGTAGAGAAACCAAGGCTTTTGTTTGGTTTTGTTTGTTTGGAGTTTGTTTTGTTTTGTTTTCTGAATTCTTCTTATCCAACAAAGGGCCACTAAGCTGATGAAGGGGGCAGAGCATTTCTTTTATGAGTGAAGGATGAAAGAGCTGGTACTGTTCAGCCTTGAGAAGAGAAGGCTAGGAAGGGATCTGTTCAATGTGTGTGTATAACTGAGGGGAGGGTGCAAGGAAGACAGAACCTGGCTATTTCCAGTGGTGCCCCATGACAGGACAAGAAGCAGTGGGTACACACTGAAGCACAAGACGTTCTGTGTGACCGTCGGGAAACACTTTCTTATTGGTGGGGTGGCTGAGGCCTGGCACAGGTTGCCCAGGGAGATGATCAATGCCTCCACCCTTGGAGATCTTCAAAAGCCATCTGGACATGGTCCTGGGTAGTGAACATTAAGTCCTTCTGGTCCATCTGGTCCAACCCTCCTGCTCAGCTCAAGCAGGTTGGACCAGATACACTCAAGATCCCTTCTAACCTTAGCTGTTCTGTGATTATGCACACATGTGAATTTAAGAAATGAGCCTGTG